ATCCCTTAAAGCAAGGCAACAGAGGTCAACAACAGTAGTAATGATGTAAATCTATACCGAAAAGTTGTAGAAATTGAGTCTGAAGTTTTGATTGACGATAGACTGCTAAATGGTATGCTGAAATCTGTTTACTATACAGTGCGACAGGTCGCACTGCTAAAAGGACCTACAACTTAATTGAACTTAATTACACTCTTATGGCTTGCATCATATTCCTCGGATCTAGGACCATTACATTTGGGGTTGTTTTCAAAAATAGACAAAAATTTGAAAGTCAGTATATTTGGCAATATGAGAAGACGTTTAGTAAAAAAATCCGATTTCCAGAACTGTGGATCTAAAGGTTTATGTTTAAGATTCATTCAATTTATTCAGTATATTTCTTTTTTAAAATAATGTATATTATTAGGATACCTATGTCCTCTTAATTAACGGCATAGTAAGCATCTATTCAATCATTGTAGACATCTATCGAATCAGACAAATATGTAATCGTGGTTTAATATTTCTCCTCGCAAATCTGGCATTTAATTAACGCCAGTTTTTGCTTTATATTCAGTTTATCTCTACTAGACCTCGGATGATTGCAAAATGTACATATGAAGAACTTTTGCAATGATTAAATTAACTTGCGCTTTAGTGGTTTCTTTTTTGATTTTCGTCGAACCATTTTCAATTGAACGATTGTGTCCCTTCTCCTTCTTCTCAGCAAATCTCAAAGATTCTTTTATTCAAAATCAAATTATTATTATGTTGAGGCTAGTTGAGTCAATGCACTTGAACACTTTTACTCTCTATTAACTGCGAGGTTTCTTCATAACCCCTCTCTACGCTTTGACTAGATTATTGTTTATCACTTCATCAGACTAAGCAATAATTGACCTCAGATTTGCGTACCTCCCCGAGAAGCCTGTAACCATTCCGAGATTTGATAACGTGGTATTGGTAAGCCTATCAGTTTTCGCAAATAATTTCAAGGCTCTATCCTTTATGCATTTTTTGATAGGATCAATCTTGAGGTCCCTGAGGATGTCATTCGTTCTAATATACCATGGTACCTTGAAAAGCCTTTTCAGAGCTTGACTTTGTATTCTAATTAAATACTGAAAAATTTAAATATATTTATTAGAAAATAATAAGTATGAGAATAACATTATGTGTAATTTGAGTGAATAGTAATTAATACGCCCGCCCTTCAACTATTGAAAATCAAGAAAATGAACATCAAAAATATATCGTTACGCTTGTTGTGTTCTGCAAAGCACAATGTGAAACGTCTTTTACGACATAAAATTGCTTTTTGATGCCATTAGCACAAAGCTAAGCAAAGAAAAACTTTTCTGCTTTTTATTGAATAACTGCGTGTCAAAATTTAACCTCCTACTACTCACCGCCCCACCGAGCTCGGAGTGTAAATGGCTGCTGATGAATGAATGCCTTGAGCTCGAACCAGATGGACGAACTATAAAAGGAGTCGAACTATGAAAGGTGTAGAAAAATGTGTGCTAAGAAAAATAAACAGAAAGCAATGTATTAAATAACAACAACAAAACTGAAAACACAAACACAATCACAAATAACAGAAATGTCAGGAACAACAAAGTAAGTAAAAATTAAAACTGGAAAAACAGAACGTCTTTTCATGCAAAAATCATTCAAAACCAAATTTAAATAAAAAGGAAAAAAGTTCAAACAAGAAACAAGCAAAAGTATTGAAAGGAACATAACTGCAATTTGCTTTTCTACGCCTGCGGGCGGTGGGATAGCACAATAAACAAAGCTTATATATGCTTAACAAAATGAAAGGCACTGTTTAAAAAGCAAGCAGCAAAAAAAAAACAAAAAACAACAACAAAAACAAAATATTTTTCAATGATCTCAAAAATTAATTAAGCGCTCACACTTTATAGCTCCAACAAGCGACACACCCGTTCTATAACAGTGCTCCTACAAATGTATGTGTATGTACCGACTCATACACATACCGACTTGTATGTTTAGTTACACACAATCATACGAACGCTTGAACTAATACTGTGTTATATATTTATATACACATACAAGCACACCCATATTTAGTGACTTGAGCAAATGAGTATAAAGTGTAATTTGCAGGCGTTGCTGGCATGTTGAGGAACAATCGGCAGGAATTGGCGGCATGAGTGTGCACCACTTAACTGTTCCTTCCTCTCTATCATATACCATCAGCGGCATTAATACCCGTCCCTCTTGCAGCGCCTATATTTGACTGCTTCACTTACTTCGCAGTCAAATTGTAGGTGAATGAATAACATAGGAGTTGATTTACTCGTATCAGATGCATCAAACACGTTCCATAGTGCGGTTCCCCACTCTTGTATTCATATCGTCCTACAATGAAATCTATATGCAAAGTGTGTGTAGTTACTGGTAGTGTATTCATTTTAGCCACTGCTGAAAATTCAAAGCAAAACTTTTTTAACTATAGTTAGTATGCTTCTCACCCCAACTGGCGTCTAGATAACGTGGAAAACGACGAAACGGTAATATCCTTGTGTTTGGTGGAAGGAAAAAGGAAGTGGATAATACATCCGTCCTTGTTGCTTCGTGTCACCCACTAAAAACCACGCGCGCCAACTTGTATTCTCTTACCATTAAAGTTACTCGACCAAAAACAGTATCGTCCTCCATATTTGTTTACAAACGGAGCTTTCGTAAGACAAAAAAAGCTTTTCATATAGTTCAGTAGTAGATAAGGAAAACTTACTGGGAAACTTCGAATTCGAATATGAAACATAGCTATATGTAAATATGTACAAATGTATTCAGTTTGAATATAAGTATCTTCAGGACTTTATTCTTCAAAAATTTTTTTGAGCTTTCAATTTCAATCAATTAGAAAATGTTTATTTTACGTCAAAGCTTTTAACCAAATTTGCTTTCCTCTCGAAATAGTAATTTGGCAAGTATTTCCGATATTTTTACCAGCCCTTTTCCTTTTTCATAACTTATTGAATTTGATTTTTGCCATAAAGAGTAAAAAAGCTTTTGGTTACTTGCTGCACATTGTGCGGCATATGAGAAAGCCACACCTTGTCTTTGTGCTGATTGGTGTTTCAACGGAAAATGGTGCTGGTATGGATTAAAGCTTAAGTATACACGTTCCAAAACAAAAAAAAAAACAACAAATATTTTTGTTGATTAAAAAGCTACCCCTAAACTGAAGCACCGCAGAGTATCAGTTAAATCAACCACCCACTCACCCACATGCTACAATACTGACATCCGCCAACTCACCCTTGCGGGCGTAACACAAAGTTTAAACGGGGTTGTAATGCGCACCAACAAACTATATCATCGCGCCGGTAACTGTGCAGGATATGTGCGATTTGACAACGGAATGAAATCAATTGTTACGTTGCCGTGCCACAGATCAGTCGCAATCCGGTATCATTTCAGTAAATTCAATAAAATGTACTTTACGTAAACTTCAGTGCAAGTAGAAAGTCATATAGAAGTATAAGGCGATTTTGAACATATTCCGACGCTACTATTTAGAATTAAAATTTACATTTAAAACTTGTCGTGTCTTAGGTTTTCATATCAAACTGAGTCCATATATCTCAATTGACATTTGCACAAACACATAAAGGTGCGCGCTTACTTATAATTTATAACCCGAAAATATACTGTGTGATTTGGACGTAATATTCGGAGCACTTACGTTAAAAGTTGTACGGAAGTTGAGGTGTCCGGTAACGGTAACCGGTTCCGATCGTCATTTTTCCCGTTCCTTTTCCTGTTCCGTTAGCGACGCGTACGCCGACGATTACTGAACATCACAATCAATGAATTTTTGTACAAACATTTTAAATAAATTTATTTAAGTATTCGTGTACATTTTTTTTCATCAATACTATTTTGCGGTCTCGACAATTGTGGGCTTCTGGTGTTATTATTTTCCGGTTTGCAAAATAAAATAATAATTCGGAGTAGTTCTATTAAATGGTTAATGTGAATATTACAATTATATTTGTTGTTATTTTATTGTGAATATTTTTGAAAAGTCGTTAAACAATTTTTTATTGAAAGAAAATGACCGATTGTGGGGAGTATATTTTAATACATAAGATAAGATACTTAAACGATTTTTAAGAAACTCTAAATTATATACCGTCGGCGGCGTATAATTAACGTAAATATACCGCCGCTTTGCTTTTTGTGCCATGATGCTTGATATTAAAACTTCAGCTGATTATTTGTCACGATCGACGGGAAGTTTTAGCAACTTTTCAATGTTGTTTGCAGGTAAGCCTATATATCGCTTAATTTGGTTTATAACCCTGAAAGCTGAAGAAATACATAAGAAAGATTCTAGTCTTCCATAAAAAAAATAATTTATTCATATGAGGACTGTTATAACTTATAATACCAGAAGTTGAAAGCATGAAAAGAAGCTTCGAGTCGTTATTCAAAAAAAAAAAACGGTATAAGAGGACTTTGAGCTTTACGAAGTTAATAGAAATATTTCGAATAAAAAATAATAATAAAAGTATTTGTACATATTAATTTTATATACAATTAAATTTTAAAAACTAGTGCTTAGTGAAAAATAAGAAAAATTCAAAATTCAAGACAGTAAATGTCAACAGTTTTTAGGGAATACTTTTCAAGAACTCGAAAAGTTGATTATAATTTTAAGAGGTCTTAGGGAATAATTGTCAAAAATTGTAAAATTTTATTATAAGTTCTCGGAACTTGAGATAGGAAAGCAATTAGATCTGTTTAAAATTGATATTTTTATGTGTAATAAGTGTTTATTGTAGTATACATTGATTGGAGTAATTAGTTATGGGTAACTTGTCCTTGAAGTGTTTAATAATGTTAACCTGGTAAGGAATTCTCCCTCTAGTTTTTCTTATAAAAATATATAGAAATCAAAATTAAAATATTCTGTAGTAAATAGTAATTTTTCCACTATTTACAAGAAAGTTTACGACGCCAAACAATAGCAAAGAACAATTATATTATGTACTATAATATATGTACTATAAATTATGTAGTACAAGTTCTAATACAGTATAGGAAAATAGAAAACAATATCTGAAATATAGAATAGACTTAAGTTTGTTTTATTAAAATATTTATAACATATTTTCTTCTATTAATCTTACAAAAAATAAAAGTATTTTTTATTTGATATATTTTTAAAAGTATGCATTTGCTTCATTACAGATTCTTCATACAAATCCTCGTGGGGATCCCACAGTTCAGCACAATCGCAAGGTAAGAAAAAAAATACTTTCGGAAGTTTCTGAGAATCCGCTATACAAATTATATTAATCAATAGTTTAGAACGGTATAGTTACCTGTTGTTACATTTAATCTCATAGAGCTTAGGGTAATACATATATACATTATTAGTTTAAATCAGTTACATTTATTAAGTATTTTTTATTGAATACTAAGTTGATACAGAACATAATATGTAAATAATAATAAACGGTATATTCCATGATTATAGTTGTTAGAAGTAATTAAGAACTAACCTTATCTCGATATGTTACATTTATTGAAGTAGTTTATCACGGAATTTTTAACGTTCACGCTGTATTTACTAGCGTCTTACTAGCTATAACCTATTTCCGTTTAACAGATTCGTAGAGTGTGCCAAGTACGCTTATATTTTCTGCTTAAAAGTTTGTGTTTGATAGGAATTATAATAAGTAAATACTAGGTGTAAGGTTTAATGATTCTACTGTATGTTTCATCATAAATGTATTTATTTGAAAATTTATTTGAAAATTATAGTAATATAAGATTATAAAATAAATTGTTAAAAGAGGGTACATTAAAACTGAGTTTACTAAGACAAAACAAATTTCATTTTAGTGATATATTTCACTATACGTGTTCTAATCCAGTAAAAAAATAGTTACTTCAGAAATGAGTACATTATTGAGATGTACTATACATCAATCTCTTCAACATCACATATACATTATCTAACTATTTCTTTATGTGATGTGGTAATTATTTCAATCCGCATAGATTTAGTTTTGATCCTTCGAATAGTTAAAATTTGTTTCTGACAAATCTCTCTGTGATTCGAATAGTAAATATTTGTTTGTAACAAATTTTTCTTGGATCGTGATATATACATTACTAAATAAAATAATGCCATCAGTATTATAATTGCCGACTTTTTATGATTATTTTCCAATTCAGGCAATATAAATTGGTTGAGTCGAATATCATATTAATTACATTGATAAATATCAGATGGGATAGTAGTGATTGAACCCATATGAATAACACCATGATTTTTTATAAAATTTTTTTTTTATTTTTTATAAAAAAAAATGTTTACAGAAAGTGCAAAAGGGATATCAGATTTGAATACAATCAATAATACGTGAAAGGAAAAACTTTAAAAAATTATAAATTATAAAGGAATGTGAGAATTGTGATTAAAACTTCTTTATATGAATGGTCACCAATTTTAACTTATAAGTTTTCTCAATAATATTGTTGAACCAACTGTATTTATGACATTGACTACAAGAGAGTTTAGTCCATTTGTAATTTTACTGAAATAGGTTATTATAGGTAGGTTTATTAATGTTAAAAACAGTTTTCTCTCATCTTTAAAATAATTTAATAAAAACTAAAATTTAGTCTCAAATCGCTCACAGCCTGAATAATTCATTGCCTAGCAACGTTGGATTCGATCAAAGAAATAATATATTATCTTTAAAATTGTTATTTATGATATTGTTTACTATTTAATATTTGTTATAATTAGTTCATTAGTGCAGATTGCTTTTTTAATGTTCAATAATTAATATCTTACTTAATATGTGATTAAAAATCTTAATAATTATTTTAAATTCTGCTGTATACTAATTGAGTAATATTAATAATAATATCAATAGTATAATCAGTAATATTACCCATTCGTACTTGTAAGATTTTTATTTATACTATTTTAAAAGTTTGAAGTGCCATTTAAAAATTATTTATATAAATTTGATACTATTATAAAAAATGTATCTGTAGCTTCAATTATGAAACTTTTTCAAATACTTCTATATTATTATTACTTATGCACAAAAATATAACATTTCATAGCAAATATTAACCATATAAATGGAAATAAAAATTTATGCTAATTTTGATAAAAAAAAATGTTTGAAGGAGTAAAACATATACTGCCTTTTAAAAACCAATGAAGCATACAATTTTCAGAATTCAACAATCAATAACCGAAAAATATCTATAATCAAATATCACACAAATATGACAGATAAAAGGTGCGCATTACACGTGTTAAACTTTTCAATTTTCCTCACCATTTTTCCTTAACATTTCCATATTTGAATGAACACGTTAATATAATTGATAATGTGTGGGAAAAAGGGTGCTGAAATGTTTGACTAAGAAAAATAATCTTATTTGTGATTCAATGAACCGGGACATGTTATTGGGTTGGCATTCGGAACCAATGATTAACAACATATATGGCAACAACCAAATAATATTGACGTTAATTGGCTTTAAGTGTGGGGAGGTAGTTTTGAATTTTATTAATTATTATAATATCTAATTAGTTTTATTTTTCATTTATCTATATTTCAGAATATATATATTTATAAGAATATTTATAGAATATTTATAATTATTATAAGTTTATTTGTTATAAATAAAATGAATGTAATAATAAAATTTGAATATTCATATATATTAATATTTCTTTTACACGATACTTTAAATATATTCACAATATTAGTGTGTTTGACTTACTTTATGCCAATTTTACAGTGCAGCCACTTTCACTGTAAGGCGTTCCTTTTGTCACTTAGAACCAACACCTTCCATATTTCTGTCGCTTGACATTATAGCCTCAAAAAAATAAAATTTCAGCTTCGTTGCGTACATCGCAGCTTCATGTCTTTTCCCAAGCATCACGCAACAATGTGTCCTTTGTTCTTTTCTCAGTTGAATAACGCCACAAAGGACTTTGCATCAGCTCAAACGTCATCACCACCATAACTTCCATCATCAACAACAACTGCCTCAAGTTTGCTCTGTGCTTACGGTGTTCATCCAGAAGTGACATCACAAGCAAAACTGATTTCATCGCCGTAGGGTGTAATTTGTATAGCGCCAACTTTTTGCCACGTTTCTGATTTAATTTTGTCTTGCTCTTTTTTTGGTTCAAATTTAAAATTGTATAGCTCCAGGCATTGTTTTGGTTCTTTATAATCACAAACCATTAAAAGGAATTGTTTACACTTTACGTCTTTCACTGGTTAGATATTTTGAGATTTTAATTCACAATTATCGGAGAATTGATTCTCGTTGAGGAATAGATCCAGTTTTTATATAGACCTATCTAAAAACATATGACATGTATACAAATATTTTGATTTTAAATTAATTTTATTAACATTATAAAAAAGAATAGTGATGTGCATTATACATATAGCTATGGTCGTATATGATGAAGGGCATCATCTTCATACGATCATTGAGTTTAACATTATAGAATTCTAAAATGTTAATTTTAGTTAATATTAAAATGAATTGAACGTTTTTTAAGTAATATATTGAAAACTTTTTTAATAGACAGCTCTGTCAAGCGGATATCCTCCTCAACTAAACAATTTTACTAGAATTTTGAAATTAATTCATTTTTTTATTATTTAGAATAACTTAACTTCTTTCAGATGGATACACTCCTTGAAAAAACAACATTTATTCGACAATATATATCTGATTAATAATGTTTAGTTTAGGGAACAAAGTTTACCCTATTAATCGTACTAATATAATCTAGTCAGTCAGCTATAAAGTTTGTTATAAACGTTACTATTTTATATATTGAATATTGAATCAATATAAGGATTGAAAAAGGACTATATAATAACAAACTGAAATTCATTACGTCTTTTGTGTAATATAATTTGTAATACATACAACACTATAATAATAATATTAAGACAACTATATTAATAAGATGTAACATATTTTCCAGGCTATAGTTCGAACGCACTGAGCAGTGTAGGGGTCAGCGTTGGAAAGTCATCGCTGGATCCACATACACATCTGAGGCAACCTGGTAAGTATTAAAAACTCTTTTAATACTTAAAATGAAATTTATTTTACTATGTTTTAATCATTTCCAATATCACTCACCAATGCTTCTTAACTTTTCTTAAATAAATTTTTGTCATAAATCAATAGCTTTGTAAGAAGTAGATTAGTTCAGTATAGTAGACATATAATGCAATTCTTTCATATTGAGTTCTTTATTTTACGATCTGGAATAATTTGAAAAAACAGAATTATATTTATTTCAAGTGATATGATCTCTTGATACTAATAATAAATTATTGGGATTATTTGAGAAGGACATTGTACACCAAAAAAACTATATATGTACTAATTACGTATGTAAAATATGTAATATATAACTTAAAATATATAATTAATAAAATTATTATGCTGAGGCTAGTTGAGTCAGTGCACCTGAGCACTTTTACTCTCTATTAACTGCGGGGTTTCTTCAAAACCCCTCTTTGCACCTTGACTAGATTATTGTTAATCACTTCATCAGACTATAATATATAACACATAACACGTATTACAGACACGTCTGCCTTTTTGTTAGGTTTATTGTCCGTTCTTCAGTATAACATTCTGTTTTTTTGTTAGTATATCTTTTCATTGGTTTTCTGACCTCTTGCCTGTCGTGGAAGAGCTAATAGTATCTTATGTGAGGCTGTGAATGTTTTGCTTGATCATATTTTGAAAATATAGTGTGAAGATTTATGGATGAAAAACTTTTCCACCCATTTGGTTCAGAATTTGTAAGCCTTTCATAATTTAGAGGAGTTTAAGAAATTAGAGGAACGTTGAGAAAATTACATGGAATTAAAACACATTGAATAAAAAAAATAAACAACAACAACAACTTGGAAACCTTTCTTTTCTTTCTTTATTTAACCCAAATTTTGACTCACACTCTTATTACGTCCTTAAATATTTCACAATACTTTTATTTGGTTTAGAAGCTGTTAACGGATTTAAAGATCGAGTTGGAATGAATTTGTAATTAGATTTAAACAAATATATATTATTTAATAAAAACATTTAATAAAAAAATAATAATATTTAAATAATAGTAAAATCAATATTTGTTCTCTATATACGGGTACTTATTACAGTTAACAAAAGTTTCTTCAGCATTTATCCCATGTAATGCTCTGTAGTCCAGTTCAATCTTTCCAATGATCATTTATCTCTCATTCAATGTTGTATAGCCGTGTTCAGTACCCGTAATGATCATGTTTTTACTGCGTTAACAACTTAATTCAACACTAAAGATCATAAAAAGCTGAAAGCTATACAAGCGTTTCATTTAAAGACCTTTTAAAAGCGAGTCACTCAAAGGCACTTAAAGTGAAACAAATACTTTAAAGACCCTTAAAAAGTTTGTGTATTTCACAAAAGGGTCTTTAAAAGAAAACCGCACGGCATTGACATATAAAAACAAACTTATGTATATTTTAAAACAAAATACAATAAAGTACAATATAAAAAAATTGAATAGTGGAATGAAAACTTTATATATTGTATGGTATATGGATTGCATCAATGGGTACGACTGACTGCCGCGTACGGTAACAGTCGCAAATCAAACCTAAATTTGCTACTTGAAAAGTACTCGAGTACAGAAAAAAACATCCATAAATTGAATTGAAATGAAATGAAAACTCATTTCAAATGAAATGGAAACAAAAAAATTTATATATAAAAAATCCAAAATGAAACAATTGGGTTGCCATTAAGCGTCTCAATTATAGCAGAGCTTAGTCGTTTTAAGAACTGTTGATGTGATGTGTCTGTCAAAATTTGACGGCCACGAGACCAAGCATTAAAAATATTATAATAATAAAAAGAGCGTAAATGCTGCATTGGGAATGCTGTAAATATGATGAATGTGTGACAAAGTCGCGTGGCAATAATGCACACAGATACGAATGCACAAATACATTTGTATATATATATGTATAAATTAATACTTTTTAACAATATGCCAGTAATTTTCATATAATTCATATATATAAGGTAGGCAATGCGTCGAAGACTCAAGATTTATACAGTCAAAAAAAAAAAAACAATAATTCTCAGCTACAATGAGAAAGTTTGTCAACTTCATAATAATGAATAATACAATGCGAAACAAAATCTAGACGTCTGCGTTTATGCATACATGAAATTAAGTCACATTGTTTTATTTATATATAGATATATGTATAGGCAGAACTATTTTTAAATGAAAATGCTTTCATTAAGTCTAAAAGGAAATTATTTGCCATATATATGTATGTAGTAGAGCTTGCTTGAGAATAGACTGTATTTACAATAACTCAAGAGTATGTAATTATTATCATAATAGCAACAATATCAGTGTGAATCGGGGAAATGTAACCTTCCTGAAGAATATGAACTTCAAGCCGTTTAGTTATATGTTGATTCCACATGCAACATTTTTTGTTGTTTAAGTACTCTGTTCCTAGCTATAGCAATGTCTGAAGTTGTTAAAATCAGTTAAGTCATAAGCAGGATATAGCTGATATAATAATCTTGCTACTGTGTTAATTGCTTTATATTGTGGCTTTTTTAAGCAGTAACTGCTTCTACATCTGTACAAATATATAATTTCTACAGATGTATAAACAAGCAAACGAACAAACAACAACAACAGCATTAAGATTTTCAAGTGCCACGCCCAAGTGCACTCCATAAATATATACAATACACAATATACACAAAACAAGAAAATATAAAATAAAATGTAATAAAAAAGCGGATAAGTATCTTAAAATGCACTTTAGCTGCATTTGTCCTTCGGAAACCAACATTCAACGTAGACACTTAAAATGTTTGTGGACACATTTGTGGTTCCATAGTGTGCAAGTATAAGGATTTTAATATTTTTGTCGCTATTTTGCATATGTATTTTTTTCCATGTTTTTTTTTTTTTTTGGCACATTTGCCTACTCCTACGCAGCAATTAAGTTTTGCAATTGTTCCTTAACTACTTGAAATGGGCCTCCGTAGTATTACTCCTTCCTGTTAGCGAAGTTAGAGTACATTTAAGCATTTCCATAATATTATGCACACCTTTTCAAAATAAATTAAAATCAGCCAGGAAATACATTTATGTCAAATATTAAAATGGTTTGCAAATATCAAACTAACGTGAAATATATTTCTTATTTTTATATGATAATTTTATTTAAATTGAATTTTTTATATATTTTATTACAGATCCATATCAAATGTTTGGACCAACAAGCAGTCGACTAGCAAGTTCTGGTGAGTGCGATTATACACATATACTCATTTATATGCATTTCATAGTCTATAAAAAATCAGTAGCAGAAAGATGCAGGTGTTAAGATATTAGCCCGCGTCAAATGCAGGAGCTCTCAAGTGGACACGTGTATTATCGTTTATAAAGTCAAAATGTAACTAATTTACATCTATTGTGAGTTAGCCCCATGTTAAGCATGACACACGTCCGTTGTCTTTTAAAAAATCACTAGAATTTCATTATCATACCATTAAAAGCGATTTTTTATATTCAGTTTTCAAGCAGGGTATTTTTATTGTGCCATTAAGGACCTCCACTAAAGACTTGCGTGCCTACGTTTCACACAGCGTTTTATCGTGAAAACCAATGTCTACTGTATGTCTATTGCAAATTCAGTTTACATCAACGTTGTCTGCGAACGCCTATGAGTCGATTTATTTTTAATTTCTTTAACAATTATATATTAAACTGCATATATTACACTCAAAAACACCTTTAAATTAGTTAAAACTGGTGTTTGGGTAAATATGCATTGCTCTGAAAGTTACCCTTTCCTCACAGGCAATGTTATCGGCTTTGTATTTCGAAAGGTGTTGCGCAGTTACCATGAGCTTGGTTAATATATATTAGGGGTGTGGCTGATATATTCTTTCTTTTCAATTCAGTTTTATTCATTTTTATTTTTATTTTACATTCAAACGCCAAAACATATCCTTACGGAATATTTTTTACACTTTTACACTTTCTGGTTAATATTCTGCACGTGATCATAAATTTGATATAACAATAAAACTATTAGTTTACGAAAGGGTTTAAAAATCTTAATGTTTCTTTCAAAACAATCTGCTTTCATATAAATCCTATTCGCTATGTATGGTTGTAAGCACTGCTCACTTTTGTTCCTGTCATCCATTAAATGTTATGACTTTGTTACTTGTCCTTCTTGTTAGATTATAGATTTCATTATAAATTCATAACGTGTGTACTACATGTGAGGTTAATCCTTATAGGCGTGGTTCTAATATGATAAATTACTGGAGCTTAACCCTTTGGGAAAGTTATCAATGTAACAGATTTTAAACAAAAAATGTGTATATATTTAGAATAACATTAAAATTATGAACAGAGCTTATAAACTTTATAAAATATTTAAAATATACAATTTTTTAATCATTAAAATAATAAAATGAAATGCATAATTTTTAAGTTATTACAAAAGTGTCCAGTATTAGCATCAGAGTGCAGTTGAACGATCGCCTAGGCAACAAAAATTAATGAGTACCAGACCTAAGTTGAAGAAATATTAAGTTTTCTAACATTCATTCATACCAAAATTTAGAAGACTTTATAACACTTCCTGTACACTGTATCTACACAGTGTTAGGTGTTGCTTAAATTTTGAAAATTGTCCATCTTGATATTAAATTATACTTAAGTCAAAAATTCATCAATAATGTCTAAAATAATTTGACCGAAATTGCTATAATGGTGCAGATAATTTCAGCGCAATATTGTTCTTAGAGTCAGTATAATTTAGTTGATTTTGAAAATATATCGCTTTTAGTAGTACATATATGGAAAGTATTGTAGCACGCGCCCAAAGCAGTTGTAGTGCTGAAACCGATCGTCATTCTTGATTGGTGTCCTATGCTTTCTTACAAAGAAAACATATTCATTTGACGTTGAGTTATGATGCGATACTTCTGATTAAATAAGAACATTTGATTTTACATCACTATATATTTTTTTTGTCTATGTAACAATTCGTTTGTAGTTTTTTGATTATAAACTCCAATACGATGAGATAACTGTGGAATGATGAATAGAAAAGAAGTTTTATGA